ATATTATATATATATATATATATATGTATAGATTAACAAGAACGCGATGCACGGATTTGAAAATAGCGAGAATCACACGAGTCACCTCTCTCACGCGAATGCCAAATTACACGTGTAAGAGATTACAACCAACGGTATATAACGACATGTGTACATAGATAGCGGCGTTGATAGAATTTGTACAGAACAATTAATTGTCTACTCTAAGTCTACGGATTATTGTAAAGTAACAATAAGATAAATAATCTTACGCGGCTCCGAAATGAAGGAAGAGAGAATGTATTTTAACGAACGAGCTTCGCGTGCCCGAAGGCACTTCGCGATATATTGTTATATGTTTTGTCAGCCGAACGGGATGCCTTTATCTTGACAAAGTTATTGATTCATATTATCTTTCTCCCTCTCGAAAGTGAGAGAAATGGAGAGATCTACAATTGAAAATTGACATCAAACATCCATTCTCCAAGTGTTTCACGATAGGGCGCGCCGATTCACTGGCAAACTCATGATTTATTATTATACTGGAGTAAAAAAGGAAATGAAAAATAAATGCTAGGTCGTAAATATTTAATGTACGCAATTCACCAAAATGCCAGCCAGTAAAACCAGATCGCAGATCGCGTACTTGGGTTGTACAATAGTGCGAGAATATTTCTACGATTTTCCATTGATTTTATAATAAATCCACGAAAAATCGTTTTACATTTAACTAAGTATAATGTAATATAACGTGTTGGCCTAAGTATAAGAATACTAGTCAAACAATTCTTTGCATTTTCTCTAAAAAGATCTTTTTATCTTAAATACAATTATGCAATGCAAAGAAATTTATATTATATTTTATTGCGTATTATTCTTGATAAATTATTTTTATGCACATGATCTCATTTTGAAAAAAAAACATATATAGTATAGATACTCAGTTTGCGAGCTAAACACTTTCCATCATCTCGTTGAGCAAGACAGATAGAAAAAAAAACAGACGCTAGATAGTTAGTTACTGCTAATAAAATATCTATTCTTTTTTGCATCGTTTCAACGAGAGAGAAAAGTGTTTAGCTCGCGAGTTTTTTAACATCCTTATATATAATCTTTATATATAATCCTTATATATTGAAATTTTTATTTTAACATCAAAGTTAAAATTTTAAATTTCCAGAAAATAGTTCATTAATATACATTAATTTGTATGTATTTTTGTTATTATGACTTTTGATACATTTGATTGACACATTATGATTTATATCGGGAATTTTGTCTGAGAATGTTTACTGCTCTTCTAACAAACCGAACTACTTTTATATACCGTTTCAAAATAAATTGAATTCATGTTTAGCGATATAACACAGAAAAAGGCACTCGAACATTATATTGTTGATTATGTTATGTATAATTTATAAGATAAGCATAACCACGTTGAAGAAACCTCGTCAAAACAGATATGAAAGTCCGTACCTATTTAACTATCACAGAACCGATTAACGTTGAATGCGAACAAAATCAAGGCACAGCAATACACAATAATTATATAAAAAGCGTAGAGATGAGAAAAATTAATTTCTCAAACGATAAAAAAAGTACGATAAATGCCACACGTCTTTGTGTTCATGCAATTCTCACATTTGTAGAAATTGTGTTCACTGCGCATTTATACAATAGCTGGCTTTTCGTTTGAAAAGCATACTGATTTTACACAAACGTGCGATCTACGAAAGAAATATACGTGTTACATGTACATGTATTAGCCGCGTATATAAAAATATATATATAAGTCACAATAAATAGTCAATTGTTTCATATAAAGTCTAAATAAAGTAAAATGAAACACTAATTGTCCTTCTGTTTAGTTTCAGACTAGTTCTCATAGTGAGAAATTTTTTTAGATTATATGCTCAATTTTAAAAATTACAAAAAATAAAAAAGGTGACAAATTGAATAGCAAAGCAAGACAGAGAGATGGATCAAAATTGCAGTTGCTTTCAGTGTCGCATTAGTAGAAAAGGTAATTACTCTTTAATAATTACAATTATAATCTAATTATATAAATATTTGATTCAGTAAAAATATATAAACATATTTTTTTTAATTAATGTGCAATATTCTACATTATATACTAATATTTCTCGTTTTATTACGAATTTATTATGTATCAGTAACGTACAGCAATATCAAATGCAATGTATTATGTTAATGAAGTATTTAAGTAATGCAGTAATTTTGCTTGAAACAATTTTATTAGAAAGAAAACTAAAAAAATTTGAATTCACAGTTAATTAAATTAATACATATATATCATTAATACTTATATACACAAAATCTTTTTAAAAAAATATATTTAAATGTTATATTTGTCATTTGCTCGCTTTTTAATCTGGAATGGAACTGATTACGAGAAAGCACAAAATAAATATAGCATCATCAAATTAAATTAAGTATTATAATTAAAATCTGATTTTTTTTTAAATATTAAAATCTACAATACTCAAAATATTACTGTATAAAACTTATATATCAAATATGCATGCGTGTTCACGCGACATTCTATTTTTATCACAAAAAAAAAACACGAATATCACGAATATTTTCTATATTATTAATATATTAATTTGTGAAAAGATTTATTATGAAAAACTATGATATTATGAATATGACAATATCACACACATAATAAATATAGCTTCATTAAAAAAGAACATAATTTATTCACATGTAAGTATGAACGTAATCTACATACATAATGTGTGTAGCTACATATGTGTATATATTATATAGTAAAAATGTACGAGACAAATATTAAAAGTAACATATTTTAATTGGATATTATTTAAAGATTTTAACAAGTATACT